CTCCTTCTCGACCTGCTTGAGCATCTCCCAGCGCTTGAGAATCCGGGCCTGATGCTCTGATATGGAAGCCAGGTTGGTGTCTTTTGAAGCCATGCGTTCCTCGATGGTGGAGTGGTAGGACAATTTGGCGTGGAACAATGCCATATCGGACTCGTCGTACTTGAGGCCTCGTGCTTCGGGCAGAGAGTTGGAATGGCTCCCTCTGGATGGCATTATTATGGGACTCTTGCAATTGTCAAGCACGTTCAAAGGCTCTCGGCGAGATCTGCGAGGTGTATAATGGAGGCTTGTATTGATTTGAGGTCGGCCAGTCAATTTGATGCGGGCTATTGTGCGAAACCCGCGAGTGAGGTATGTATGAGGGAAATAGTGATCAAGAAGAACCCTGTCTTAAAATGGGAGGCGAGGATTTCTTTGGGCTCACCTCTGCCCTGCGAGATTGCCAACCTTTTATTGTTGAAAGGATCTGATATCCCTTCTATGTTTTGATACACACAGACGGCCTTTATAGATCCCCGGTCGCTCAGGCATGTCTTTCAAGGTGATACCAAGGATGCCACCGAACGCACATTCGCCAATAACGCGGCGCAACAGAACAACGGACAAATGTTTCCATGTCTTCAAACTGTCTTCGTCTCTGCCAAAAGGCAGTACCCACTTCGTTTGTCCCGTCGTCTTGTGATTATCGCGGAAGCCCAATCCCACCGCTCAATCAGGAAGGCGTTTGTTCCTCATTTGATCGGACTGTGACACCTTGAGGATACCACCGGCGCAACCAGGGGCGGTCTGCAAATTTGCGCTGGTCAAATTGCGGTCTTCTGTCTTCCTCTCTGTGAAGACGAGATATTGAGTCGGTGAAGAAACTCAGAGTCCTGACGAACGGACCACATCTGCAGTGGCGACGGCCAATATAAACATTTCATGGTTACTTCCATGTCTTTTGCTTGCATATGTAGTGGGCTACAACCACATACTGACATTGGACAGCCGAATAAGCCAACCGACACGGTTGCTAGCCATGCGATTAGGCTGTTACACACACAGACCAGGGTCACCTCCTAAGAACAACAATGGAACTTCTCTTCTCTCCCACTGACGGTCTAACTGCTCTCAGAAAGGAGAAAATAGGACGATCTCAACCGTCTACGGCGTGGCTGTGATTCCAGGCCTAGACGGGAATCAGTCGATCATGATCATGGCTTCCATGATCCCCGTCGCGAGGCAAACGCGCAGGGATATCGATCCAGAACATTCTTTTGCCGTGCTCTCACGGACATTTTGATTCGCTCCCGAGCCCGTTTAATTTCCCGTTAAGCGTTGCTTAACGCCCCATTCCGGACTTGGTCTGCAGGTAGCCGTTGGATGCGTTGTTGTGTCACATTCGAGTCATGGTCGTGTGGACAAGTACGTAGTACTCTTTCCTAGCCGCACTCGTCAATATAGGGGATATTCGATGTTTCCTTCACATCGGATCCGAATTTTCGTGAATACTCACAGTAAGAGTAAGATTCTACAGCAGAAGTGCCGTACTCTTTTTGCTCCCGGGAAAACCAGACCAAGCATAATTGAGTTCAATCAGGTACATCTATATCGCCCAGCCAGTCGAATCAGAGACAATTCCTGCCCACTTACAACGCACGATCCACACCCTCACCCGTCAGGCGCAATGCATGCCCACCCGAAGTGCAACACCCGGCCAACGGGCTCCTTGCGTATGCTGTGCAATCGAAGCTTCAAGCTTCAAGCTTCTGCAGTATTGATTTGGTCTAGTGCCGTGCGTGTGTTGCGCTCTTGCCCCTGTTGGGTTGGTATTGGAATATGTCGGTAGATGCAGAGCTATCTGTTGATGTGCGGTAGTGGATGATGTTTGCTTCCAGGTGAGTAGGTGGCGTTATTAATAGTACAAGGGGTATACCTATCGTTATGGAGGCGGTCAGTTGTTGGAGTTGAGGATTGCCTTGAACATGAGTATCTGTGCCTGGATCTAGGTTCGCGTGAAGTCTGGATGTGGATGTGGAGTCTCACATGAAAGTACATGGTTTACTGACACAGAGCTGGTTAATAGCTAGCTGATCATCATATCATGATACTACATGTATCTAGTATATCTGAAGTCAGTGTCGTCCCTCCTCATCGCGATTGGCCTCCGCCATCTCCTTCTTCGCCTTCTGGATGTCCAAAGACATCTTGACGGGCGCCACGCCCGGCGTCTCGAACACGGCGTCGATTTCTTCGAGAGACAGCCCGGATGTCTCTGGGAAGACGAAGTACGACAGAATGAGTTGGATACAGTTGTAGACGATATAGACCACCCAAATCTTGTATCCGAGCTTCTGTATTCCAACACCGATGCCATACGTTTGCACGGCTCCCGCGCCGCCCTGGATCAACCCGTAGAGACCCATTCCCTTGGCACGGAGTGGCAAAGACAGGATCTCAACCGGGTACAGATTGTGCATCGTGGCAATCAGTGTGGCGGAGAAGGTTTGGTACAGGTAGATCCAGAGGATAGTCAACGCAGCGGCTGCGTGGTTGCCCGTGACATCAAATTGCCAGGAGGTGATCGTAGCGGCAAACTGAAAGAGGATCATGCTTGCGAGTCCCGAGAAGATCAACGTTCGTCTTCGAAACTTGTCGATGATGAGCGCTCCCACACCGGTAAACACAAAGTAGACGGCCGTAGTGCCAAGCTGAATACCAAGCTGCTGCATCGAACCCTTGATTCCGATCGTTTCCAAGGCGGGGACCATCTACAGTAGCACAATGTCAATTTAGAAGCGAGACCTCACAGCGCCACTCCAGAGGCCTTAGGGTTGACTTACGTAGTACGTAATGATACCTCCACCATTCCACTGCTGGAAAATGGAGTAGAGGAAGAGAACAAGGAGTCGGAAGCGAGCCATCTTTGTGAAAAAGACCCGGTAGTCCCAGAACTGATTGAAGCCCGTCCGGTCATGCTCGAGGGACGCCTCAATCTGCGAGATGACGATCTCGACAATGGGCTCATCGATATTGCCACTGCTCGTGTGATACTTGGCAACCATCCGTTTAGCAGCGTCTCTCCTCCCTCGCATGACATAGTAACGGGGCGATTCGGGCGTGATGAGGTAGATGGTAGCACAGACTATCGCGGGAAATACGGCTTCCAGAAGCAGTGGGACTCGCCAGCTCCAGTTCCCGTCCATCTTGGTCAGTCCAATCAAGGCTCCGGTCATCCCCAGACTGCCTATCTGGAAACATGCACCAAAAATGCCGACAATCAATCCACGGAGGTGGGTCGGGGCAACCTCGCCCACATATTGAGAGCTGGACAAGAGGGCGGACCCGAATCCCAGCAGGAACCGGGCCGCCATGAACATTGAGAGGTTTACAGAGCAGCCCTGCATCACCGCGCCCACGATCACAATGAAGTTGCCGAGAAAGTTGACTCCCCGTCGACCGATCACGTCCGCCAATGACAAAAATGGGGCTCCACAGACGGTGCCAATGTTCATCAAGGCGTTGATCAAGCCGTATGTGCCTCCGCTAGTTCCAAAACCAAAATAGGTGTGCCATGCTGGCAAGGCATTGATGCCGCTGATAACGGCCCAGTCAATGCCATAGCCAGCTTGATTGCATCCCTGGACGAAGAGGATCAAGAATAGGCGGAAACCAGCCCAAGAACGAAGATTTAGTGCTTCTCGGGAGATCCTAAAAACGTCCTCCTCGGTCAGATTGGCAAGCACGACTTCTTCAATATGTGCTTCCTCCTTCTTCACATCCAGTTCGGTCTCATTTGTGGCCGTGACATCGATAGGGTTACCCATCATGAAGGGTTCAAGCGCTCTCTAGACCAAAGGCCTTGTGAGACAAGAAAAATTCTCTTATGGATGACTAAACAGCGAAGGGAAGAAGAATAAGGCATTGATGAGGATACGCCCGTGACTGGCCTCCTGGGGTCACACCACTATATGAGAGTGTCGCCGATCATTTCGGTTGGAAGCTGCTTGTGCGACAGACACATGTCGAATCGCTACCCCATGGGGCCCTTGCTGCAGCTCCTCTTTCGCCACGGAGTTGTCGTGGCCGAAGGAATGCTTTGAAGAGCACCAGTAGATAGTCCGTGGATAAAGCTCGTGAATTTAGCCGCGAAGTGTCAACAACATGGCTGAGATCGGCCTGTCTCTAGAACACCAATCATGACCTGTTTGCGAGATAGCCCGATGGCTTTCTTATTGTGGCTGGTAATTTTCCGCCATTGAGGTGGCCTCCCTTGCTTCGATGGATGGCTAATGGACAACGCAAGGCGAGTCTGGTCGCATCTCTAGCAGGGGGATGACAAGTCTAGATAACTAGTGCTGTTCTCCGCGAAGCTAACAAGGCATTATTGGCTCAGATTAGCTATAACCGAGAACTTGGGCTGTCATGATCTGGGGGAATTCTAACCTGGGGTAGAACAAGGGTGTTGGACGGTGGGAGCAAGCCATGGCCGTTCACGATTCATGGGCCACCATATCAAGTCTTTGAGTACAGTGTATATCTTCTCAGAGCAGGTATTTGAAATGCAGATGCTCAAATCGTGTATAGAAGATAGCAAGAGCAAAATCGTTCGATAATTCGATTGTCGATAACAAGACGTGGGGACTTGGTCGGATGGTGCAGGCACATGACTCGGTCCTTTTTCATCCTCTGTTGGGCTCAGGGGCTTCATTGAATCCTGCTTCGTTGACGCTGACCGTTCCCCTCTCGGATTCGCGCCTGTTCGGGTTAGGATAATGCCTTCTTATTCATTTTCCTTCTCCCCGGACAATCTCCGCATTTTCACGAAACTCTTTAGCGTTGATAGCTTCGTGTCCCGGTGTTCTAGCCATGGTTATCTGATCTTTCCACCAAACGGGCGCGGTTGGCGGCCCGACTCAACCGACATGGGTCACTAGGATAAATCCACGACCATGATCAGGGTCGACACTTGTTCATCAAAGAAGACGACTGGCATTTTGATTCGGTGATCGCACGCGATAATGTCGGAACTATGGTACCAGCAGCCTGCTGCCAACTGGGAAGAAGCATTGCCGGTGGGCAATGGGCGCCTAGGCGCCATGGTCTATGGACGAACCGATACAGAGATACTACAGCTCAATGAGGACTCGGTTTGGTATGGAGGTCCCCAAGATCGTGTTCCTCGTGATGCATTTGAGTATCTCCCACGTCTCAGGTCTCTGATCCGAGAGGGAAACCATGCAGAGGCGGAGAAGCTGGTTCGTCTGGCTTTCTTCTCTCATCCCATTAGTCAACGGCATTACGAGCCTTTGGGGACCCTCTTTTTGGATTTTGGTCATGCCCCTGAATATCTTCGGAACTATCGACGGTCGTTGGATGTTGAGCGTGCTACCAGTCGTGTGGAATATGAGCACAAAGGCGTAAAGCTTCAACGGGAAGTCATCGCCAGCAACCCAGACGGTGTGATTGCCATTCGAGTCCAGGCATCTCAGAAAGTGGAGTTTGCCTTGCGGCTCAGTCGAATGAGTGAGCTGGAATATGAAACAAATGAATATCTTGACGATGTCACGGCACAAGACCGGACAATTACCTTGCATATCACCCCGGGTGGACACAAGAGCAACAGAGCTTGTTGCATGGTCAAAGTTCGCACAGCGGATGATGAAGATTCTGTCACTCAGGTCGGAAACAAACTGCTGGTCAACGCTCATGACGCGCTGGTGCTAATCTCGGCGCAAACCACTTACCGTTGCGACGACATAGACAAGGGAGCTTCTTCTGATTTGGAAAGAGCTTTGCTGCACTCTGCTGAGGAGATTTGGGAGCGACATGTGAACGACTACCGATCACTCTATGGTCGCATGGAATTGCATTTAAGTCCCAACAACTGCGACTTGCCAACTGGCAAGAGAATCAAGAATTCGCATGACCCTGGTCTAATAGCACTCTACCATAATTATTGTCGCTACCTTATGATATCGTGCAGTCGGAATGAGGACAAAGCCTTACCAGCGACGCTACAGGGTATATGGAATCCATCCTTCCATCCAGCGTGGGGCTGTAAATACACGATAAACATTAATCTGCAAATGAACTACTGGCCGGCCAACGTCTGCAATCTCTCCGATTGTGAAATGCCGCTATTCTCTCTACTAGAGCGCGTTGCGAAATCAGGAGAGGAGACAGCACAGAAGATGTATGGCTGCCGTGGCTGGGTCGCCCATCACTGCACCGATATTTGGGCTGATACTTCTCCCGTCGACATGTGGATGCCGGCAACCCTCTGGCCGCTAGGAGGTGCTTGGCTCTGTGTCCATATCTGGGATCATTTCCGTTTCACCCGTGACAAGGAATTCCTCCAGAGAATGTTTCCGATCTTACAAGGATGTGTGCAATTTCTACTTGATTTCTTGATTGAAGACGCCTCTGGAGAGTATCTGGTCACGAATCCGTCACTGTCGCCCGAAAACACATTCTATGATAAAAATGGAGAGCGTGGTGTTCTGTGCGAAGGCTCCACCATTGATATTCAGATTGTGAATGCTGTCCTGAGCGCTTACCTGAAAAGTGTCGAAGAGTTAGAGATAGACGCTGAGCTTGCACCGGCAGCATTAGACGCCCTGCGTCGACTTCCACCCCTGCGCATCGGGTCTTTCGGGCAACTACAAGAATGGGCTTCCGACCATGCAGAAGTAGAGCCCGGCCATCGGCATGTTTCTCACCTGTGGGCCTTGCATCCAGGAGATACCATTAGCCCGGAAACAACGCCCAAATTAGCCGAGGCCTGCTCGGTCGTGCTGCACAGACGCCAGGCCCATGGAGGCGGTCATACGGGCTGGAGTCGAGCATGGTTAATCAATCTGCATGCACGATTACTGGCACCTGAGGAGTGTGCGAAGCACCTTGATCTCTTACTGGCGCAGTCAACGCTGCCCAACTTATTGGACACGCACCCACCGTTCCAGATCGACGGTAACTTTGGCGCTGGTGCAGGTATCCTCGAGATGCTCCTTCAATCCCATGAGGAGGGAATCATTAGGCTCCTTCCCGCCTGCCCGAGAGCCTGGGGTTCAGGGTCTCTTCGGGGCGTCTGCGCTCGTGGAGGGTTTAAGTTAGCTTTCAGCTGGGAAAACGGTCAGATAAAGGATGCTGTGACTGTCTACTCGGAGTTCGGCTGTGCAACAGTCCTTTGCTTTCCTAACAATGGACCTCGGATCGAGATCCAGGGGAGAGGATTTCATAGGGTTCGGCCTTGACTTCGACACTGTGCGTGTGGCCATATAGCTGTCAAGAAGCTCCGCTGTCTCTTTACGATCGTAGTAACGACATACAATCAGAACACTATACACTAACGTCCGGCACATCCTGCTCACCCTTTCACAGGCACTCCCAGGATGGCTTTCCAGGTGGGATAGAGCGCCAAGGACCATGATTCATCCCCTCCCAATCCTTCTATCGCCCTTTAGACAGAGTGGCGTTGTTTAGATCCTGTCGGAGAATCAAGCGCATCGTCCTCCCTTCGACTATCTAGTAAATTTTCAAGGAGTCATCCGATGTATGATGCATCACATTATGTTACCCCTCTTTGGATTACCCCACTTGGTCCATGTCCAGATGGAATTATCCAGCAATGAAGAGTCAAGAGACAGAATGGTGGAGTAGATCGGACCATTGACCGAGCTGAATGTTTCAATTTAGCCGGACATATTGATGACAGCAAGCCAGCTTGATCGAATAAACCTGGCAATTTTGTCACGAGAACCATGGACAATATCTGGTATTTCAATCATCGCTGAATTAAGCCTTTCATTTACGAGTTCCTTCTGACTCCTGCGCGAGTCTCTGCTTGGCTTTCGACTGTTCAGAACCAGAACGCCAAAAGAACTGGAGCGACGAGACATGGACCTGCAATCCGTTCAAGATCTCAAAGGGGTCTTGAGGAGCGACTTCTTTCATGGTTACGCCACCGCGGCGGCCCAGGTGGAAGGGGCTTGGAACAAAGACGGTAAAGGCCAATCAATCTGGGATACCTTTGCGCACACGCCTGGTAAGGTGAAGGACGGAAGCACTGCTGACGATGCGGTGCGCTCGTACGACCTGTACAAGGAAGATGTGGCGCTCATGAAGTCCTATGGGGTCAATGCATACCGCTTTTCTTTCTCTTGGTCTCGAATCATTCCTCTTGGAGGGTGCGATGACCCCGTCAACGAGAAAGGGATTGAATACTATTCGAATCTCGTTGACGAGCTCCTCCGTAATGGCATCACGCCGTTTGTCACGCTCTTCCACTGGGACACACCGCAAGCCCTGGAGGATCGCTACGGCGGCATGCTGAACCAGGAAAAGTTCGTACCGGACTTTGTCAATTACGCTCGTGTTTGTTTTGAGAGACTCGGCGATCGCGTCAAGCATTGGATCACATTCAATGAGCCTGGTGTCTATACTCTGGCAGGATATGCGGCGGGTGTCCACGCACCAGGTCGCTCGTCTTTCCGGGACCGCAATGAGGAGGGCGACTCGTCCACCGAGCCATTCATCGTTGCGCACACGGAGCTGGTCGCCCACGGACACGTGTCCCGTCTCTACAGGCAGGAGTTTCAGGCCCATCAGCAGGGAACGATCGGCATCACGCTTCACGGGAACTGGTCCGAGCCATGGGATGAAGCAGAGCCGCTGGATCAGGAAGCCGCCGAGCGCGCGCGCGAGTTCGAGATTGCCTGGTTCGCGGACCCGCTCTACAAGACGGGTGACTATCCTGCCTCTATGAGGGCGCAGCTGGGTGACCGCCTGCCCAAATTCACGCCGGAGGAGTCGAAGCTGGTGCTCGGGAGTTCCGAGTTCTACGGCATGAACACGTACACATCGTTCTTCGTCAAGCACAAGACCACACCTGCGGACATCAATGACCACAAGGGGAATGTGGAGATCCATGATTTCAACAAACAAGGTGTCCCTCGAGGCGAAGAGAGCGACACGGAGTGGCTGCGGGCTGCCCCCTGGGGCTTCCGAAAGCTTCTAAATTGGATCTGGTCACGGTACCAGATGCCCATCTACGTGACGGAGAACGGGACGACAGCCAAGGGCGAGACAGCGCCTACACCAGATGTTCTCAACGATCAGTTCCGCATCAAATTCTTCGAGGGATACGTAGGATGGGCACTAGCTCGTGCGGTCAAGGAGGACGGGGTTGATATCCGCTCCTACTTTGCCTGGACATTCACCGATAACTGGGGTAGGTTTTTTTGTCTGGTGTGAAATTGCATTGCTGATGATGGCACAGAATGGGCTGCGGGCTATACCGATCGTTTCGGGTGCACCTTTATCGACTTTGATTCACCGGAGAAGACTCGGCACCCCAAGCAATCTGCTTATTACCTTGACAAGCTGTTCAACCATTTGATCAAGGATTCTTAGATGTTTCCATGGGCCGATGGAGGAATAAACCCTTGATCACCGAATAGAGTTGAATGATGTATGACAAATGTTTGAAGACAGGACTCAGGTTACATACAGTCATAGAATGGATGCATTTACATCTCACGAAGCAAGCGATTATTGTACAGAACCAACATTGCCACGATTATGCCATTCAAAACGCACAACGCCGAGATTTGTTCAGTCATAACCTCGTACCAGAGCCAGCCAGCCAGCCAGCAAAACGCCCGCTACACCGAAAGACAATGCCAGCAGATCGAAGTTGATGGCAATTTGACAGAACGCTTGCTAACAGTCTCAGCTTCCGCCCACCATCCCAAAGAAGGAGAAAAAAAAACTCACAAGCTCACAAGTCCTCCAGGGATGACAAAATGGAGCCTCAGCCTGCCCTCAGTTCAAGTAACGCGGGATAGGACCCGAGTTACGCCGATTCTCATCCGAGCGACGCAGCAAGGGCACCTCGAAACGCACACGCTGCTGGCCATCCTGACCCGCGCTAGCATTCGCATTCCCCGCCGAAGACCGCAGGATCGAGCTGGGGAAGTACGCGGTTGGGGGCTGCCGGTGTCCTGCGGGGCGTTTCGTGAGAGGCGCAAACTCGCGCAGGAACATCTCCCATGGATCCTCGGGGACCTTGTCGCCGTCGCGGACCTTGCCTTGAAGGACGCAGAGGCGGTACATGTTTCTTTCGAGATTGATCCAGTCCACGCCATAGGGCTTGTGGGTGATGCCGGTGGAGACGTCGGTATTGGACCAGAAGATGTGCGAGAGATTGGCCAGTATCTTCTGACGTTCCTGCTCTGAGTTGGCCATTTTGAGGATGTTCGATTTATGAGGTTGGATTGAAAGAATGATGCGGTCTGGAGGATAGCAAGGGGCAGGCTGAGGAGGAGATGGAGCTTGATAAAGAAAGTGTTACAGAGTTTCAGCAGGCATGGTGTTGATTATTGAGGTCTGTATGGAGATGGCTGTAAGAGAAAGTAGGAGGGAGGGACTTGGAGGGATGATATATGGACGCGAGATACGCGAGATAGACGCGAGGTGCACACGAGATATCAACAAACCTGAGGCAGTGAATGTTGTAGGGCTTGAACAGGGCATGATGGTGTTTGTGGTTGTGTGCGATGACGGTGAATGACAGTGATGGGGGGCCATATCTCGCCTGTTTTGGAGTATACTGGAATATCTTGGCCTAATATGACATAAGATGGCAGAATACTCAGAAACTCAGGTTAGAGAATCAGTCGACCAGATGTCAAGACTGTTTGCAAGTTAAAAGAAGAATGATGAACCTCGTAGACTATCTATCAGGTAAGTATACCTCCACGCAACAGCACGACCAGCAATCCCCGAACACAACCCGATCAGCATTCGGCGCATATCGACCATGGTCTCGGAAAACAACGGCCGATCGAATGAGGGGAAAATCTACCCCGAATTCTTACAAATCTTGGAGTTTCCATCCTTCTCCTCCTGAGACTGCAGATACCAGGCTTTGAAGCTCTCGTGTATACTCGTACAGTCACCTACGTGCCGTTCCTCACAATGCAACTTCAGACTAAAGAGCCGCCCAGGTTGGAGCTGAAAGGTACTCCAAGAGAAGTAAATCTTTCCCGACAACTGTTTTCGTTACATCTGCCTTGTTTGCTTCTGCGCAGTATGAGCTGACTTTGTTGACCAATAGATCGGACTTGAACATGGCCGACTCCTATCACAGCAGATCCGGGACCAGATCAAGGTCTACGAGAACATGTTCCAGGAGACATCCAAAATGTCCTGGGACGATGTCAGAGATCTCGCCGAGGAGTTCCGTGAATCACTAGAGAAGAAAGTGTCCGACATCTACGCAGAGATGCAGGGTATAGCAGAGGGAGCGGGGCTGGATCTTCTCGACATCGTGGCGCTGAATTGTCGCAGTGAAATCGCCATGGGCAGTTTCTCCGATGGCTGCACAAGTCTATCCTGGAAGAAACATGACGATGGACGAGTCCTGGCTCAGAACTGGGACTGGGCTGCCGCTGCGGGGAAGAATATCGCTATCGTGTCAATCGAGCAGCCCGGCAAACCAAAAGTCTACATGGTTACCGAGGTTGGTCTGCCCTCAGCAGTTTGAATTTTGTCGATATAACTAATACTAATATTGAAACAGGCTGGTATTGTTGGGAAAATCGGGTTCAACAGCGCCTGTGTAGGCGTTTGCCTCAATGCCATTCGAGCACGACCGTGCATCAGCTCAAAGATCCCGATCCATGTGGCGCTCCGCCTCTGTCTCGAGAGCTCATCTGCCCAGACGGCAGTCGAAAGAGTGTCCGGGCTGGGAGGTATAGCTTGCAGTGTGCACATCCTGGTTGCAGACAGCACGACCGCACTGGGTCTTGAACTCTCGCCTTTGGGAGATGTGCATCTCAAAGAAGATGACTTGGGAACTGTCACTCACACCAACCACTTCATCGAGAATCGGAACGTGTATGAGCCCCCATGGCTCTCCGGCTCTCCAATTCGGCTGGGTCGAGTCCGCCAACTCCTCGGTGAGCTGATCAGGGGTGGAATCTCCGGGTCTCAGATCACACCGAGTCTCCTCCGAGACAAGATCTTTTCGGATACGTTCAATGCGCCACAGGCTATCTGCTGCTCGGAGGATACTAGCCGGGGCCCTGCGGTGCGGTCTAAGACCATTTTCAATATCATTATGAATCTGGAGAAAGACAATCTCAGCGCGGAGCTTGTCGTTGGTCGACCAGGTTCTGGGGAGGAGAGTGCCGTGATACGGATGCCTTGGGCATAAGAGTGTTGGATTGCGGTTTCAGCATCATTGATGTCTTCTCAATGTTTCTGGCTAGATTCAATTCTCATTTCGACTCACTCGATGATGTCTTCAATCTTGAGGTGTTTCTTCCAAGATAGGTCTGAACGTTGTAAGACATACAGAAGTGGACAAAGCATTGTGTTAGACAACAATGGCATTCTCAACTGTTCCATTGTGCACAGATCCTTGAGACACTCTGCCTCGAACTGCTATCAACGACGCCTCGAATGAGACAAATGCTAACTGTCCTAGATGAAGACGAGATCTTTGTCCTCGTCGGTCTATATAATGGCCTTGACTTGCACTCGCAATGGCTTCATCATCATCATCCTGATTCTCATCAGCGATATCCAATCTTCTTCGAATAACCTCTCCTCGATACAATTCAACTCCGTCCCTATCTCAGAACCTCAATATGTCCACCTACCAAGACCCATCCAACACGCGCGACGCCCTCCTCGCCGCTCTCCAGGAACAGACAGACCTGCTGAACGCGCACCCCGAAGAGGCAGATATCATCACCAAGGCCATGGATGATATCAAAGAGCAGCTTGCAGCCTTGGAGCAGGAGGAAGCCCAGGATCCCCAGGCCGGTCTATCCCCGATCCTCGAGACGTTTACTAGTCCCCAGCTGCAGACTGACGGATTCTCGTGCCCCCCGACCCCAGGCGGATACGCCAACGACAGCGACACTGACACGAATGGCAGCGACGATGGCGAGGACGAGCTGAATGATCATCTTCGCGAGAGATTCTGCAACCATGAGTGCGACCATGAGTCGTGCCGACTTGCCAACGAACATTGGTATGGTTGCGAGTCCCAAGTTCACGGTGATTGTGATTGCGAGGATGCTGAGACCGATGCTGACCTCGTTTGTTAAACACTTTCTAGGACATCTTTTCCGGATTTCCACGTGTGAGGTTGGGTTTGTGATTTGCTAACTACGCAGCAGATTGAGGATGATGAAATTGTTGATTTTGGCTTCGGTTTTTGTTTTCATGGTTCAATTCTGGGTCGCTTGTGATTTCCTTTGGTAGTACAATATGGAGTCTGCTTCGAATCTGATATACAATCATCGATCTTCGATGTCTTGTTCTATAGGATCGGCTGGCGTACGTAGTGGAGTGTAAAAGACTGGTCTTATGATCCATCAGAGATTCGCCTTCAATTTCGTCCGTAGTTGCTCTTCTCCAAACACCCCACATGGATTGGCAATCGGCGCCCTTGCTTTCGTCATTGACTATCCCAGCCTACCTTATTAGTTGAACCTCTTATCTTTCTTCAATTACAAATATCTTCGTACCTCGAAGACCATCTGGAAGACGATAATCGACCTCTGTGGTGACATCATGGCCTCTGCCACAGGAATTCCTCAGGAACATCCTCAGACCATTGAGGCCAGAGAAGATGAGCCTTTGTTGGGTGGACCCGGTGCAGTAACGCAAAGAGACAGCGATCCTATTTATCGCAATTTGATCAAAGGTCTGCTGCTGCTGAGTGAAGTTCTATCTGGCTTGATACTAATCCATCTGCTGCAGGAACCGCCGCTGTTGCTCAGGGCGGCATATTGATTGTAAGACATCCCTTTCAGCAGACTGTTTATTCAAAGCTAGCATGGCCGTCCTTTGACAGTTACTGCGATTGACGCGGTTCCCTAGCTTACGGCCCTCATCTGGGCTGGCATCTTGTCCCATCCCTTGATCTTCTTTTCTGCTCATCCGGTACGTTAACCCATGTCATGGAGTCATAGATGATACTGAGAGATGCTAATTTCTATAGCTGCTCAACTCCTCCGCTCTGCTTCTCCAAGTACAAGCCGCTCTCATCCTACAGCCAACCGCGACACCGCAGCAGAAGCTCCTGGGCACTCGAATCCACTATTCCCTCCAAGCTATCAGCCTGGCTGCTTTTATCACCGCATTCATCATCATCGAGATCAACAAGGGCGATCATCCGCGGCTGACATCTCCGCATGGTATCCTGGGACTAAGCACCTACATCTGCATCGCCCTTCAAGCCCTGCTGGGACTTGTTCAGTATTTCTTCCCTGTCACGATCCTTGGCAGCGCCGATGCGGGTAAGAGGCTGTACAAGTACCACCGCCACTTTGGATACTCGGTGCTTGTCCTGGAACTAGCGACTGTGGCAGCGGCGACGCAGACGACGTATAATGTGTCTGTCCTGCATATTCCGCTTTGGGGTGTTCTTGTCGCGGCGGTGTTAATTGTCGCAGGAGTCGGTGCCAGAATTAAGAAGCACAAACTGGGCTTCTAGAGCGATTTCCATTCAGATAATTGCTAGGAAGTCCGAATGAATACACATAGGAAACAGGACGTGGTTCGTTCGATGCCTGCAGCCATTGCCGGCCTGAATATCAATGGGAGGGATCGTGCACAGGATAGATTTTAGCACTGGACCTACATAATATGTATATATGGAAATACAGAGCACAATACATGATGCATACCATATATATACTGGAAACGTTTGTTATAGAGCAGAAAAGTGCTAGAATACAGATTACCAAGTTAGGAAAGGCGGCGAGAGCTCAGCTCTTATCTTTTCCTCCATCGGCCCATATTTCCCGCGCACTTATAACCTCCACGTCCCTCGACCTGCCATGGCGTCGATCAAATCTCCGTACATCTGCCTCAATTGCAGATTGACGAGCAGGCTCGGCCGACGCAACTTCACTGCGTCTGCTCGACACTCGGAATTGCTGCGCCCCGCAACGGCTCCGAAACCCACCCCCGACATCAAACATATCCGTCAGTACGCGGAGCTCTACTCGAAAAACAGCGTGGATCGAAATTACCCGGCGCACGCTGATTATCCCTACAAAATCCAAGAACTGTCGGAAGAAGCAAGGCGTCTTGATCAAGATCTCAAAACGCCGCGGTCCCGCATCAAGCAACTGGAAAAGACCATAGCGAAACTTGCAGGATCCGCTCGACAGGATGGCGCATCCAGTGCCATTGAGGAAGAATTGGCAGCTCTTCGGTCAGAGGCACAACGATTGAAGGATGAATCGCATGCTATGAATACCCGGAGAACGACCTGCACCGAAGAAATCCAACGGCTCGCCCTATCCCTGCCGAACCTTTCCTCTCCCGAGACCCCCGTCGGAGACGACGCAAAGCTCGTCACATACATCAATTTCGACCCCCAGTCTCCTCCAGAATGGGTCAGCCGTCCAGACCCGTCTCGGTCGCACGTCGCTATCGGGACCGCGCTCGACCTAATCGATTTTACAAGCTCTGCGACCACCACAGGCTGGGGCTGGTACTTCCTGATAAACGAAGGAGCGCTGCTGGAACAAGCGCTGGTTCAGTACGCCCTCAGCGTGGCCCGCAACCGCGGCTGGAAAGTCGTTTCACCGCCGTCGATCGTCTACTCCTACATCGCTGAAGCGTGCGGCTTCCAGCCCCGCGACCAGCACAACGAGCAGCAGATCTGGGCCATCGAGCAGAGCGACAAGGACAAGAGTAAGCCCCAGCGCTCCCTGACCGGCACAGCCGAGATCCCTCTGGCAGCCATGTACGCCGGCCGCGACCTCGACGCCTCAATCCTCCCCCTCAAACTCGTCGGCGCCAGCCGCTGCTACCGCGCCGAGGCAGGCTCCCGCGGCGTCGACACCAAGGGCTTGTACCGCGTGCACGAATTCACCAAGGTCGAACTCTTCGGCTGGGCCGATACCCTCCCCGCAACAACCTCATCCGACGACCTCTTCGCCGAGCTCCTGGACATCCAAACCGAAATCCTCACCTCCCTGAACCTCCCCTGCCGCGTCCTGGAAATGCCCACCACAGACCTCGGCGCCAGCGCCAGCCGCAAACGCGACATCGAAGCCCTCTTCCCGTCCCGGCTGCGCGCCCTCGCGGCCGGCAGCTCCTCGCCTGCTTTCGAGTCCGGCTGGGGAGAAGTCACCTCCGCCTCGATCTGCACGGATTACCAGAGTCGACGGCTGGGTACGCGTGTGCGCGGGGGCTCAGCGAAGGAATCTCGCTTCCCGCATACTGTCAATGGGACCGCGATGGCCGTTCCGCGCGTGCTGGCCGCTATCTTGGAGAATGGATGGGATGAGAAACGGAGGGTTGTTGTAATTCCGGAGGTGCTGCGGAAGTGGATGGGGGGGTTGGAGGTTATTGGAGAGAAGTCTTAGGTTCCATCAGGCGTTCTTTGTATGGATTTCCTCCCACCTCCGCTGTATCATGCTGTACAATATTCTCAACACGCTGATCCGGCGCTCGTAAATATAAAGCTCGCTGCGTTTTGTTTGTTTACTAGAAATGGATATGGATGATCTGCACAGAAGAAGAGCAGGCTAATTATAATACCTCGAATGTATTACAACCTAACGAAGCGAACGAGCGAACGAATATCACACCTTCATCACACCACGTCTGGACATCATAACCGACGGAAATAAAAGCAATTGGCCTTGAATCCAGGTCAAAACAACGAAGGGGGAGGAACTAGAATCAGATAGCGTAATATAGCAGGGGGTATCGTGATCATATCGACATGACGAAAAACAAAAACAAAAAAAAAAAATAACAAAAAAAGAACTCCGCCATTTTCGCATACATAAGTGTCTGTGTCGTTATTCATTCAAATCAAATCAGATCAGAAGGAAAAGGCGTGTATAAGCATCATTAGTCATTAACGTCACTCCTCAGTCCCAGGGAATATCTTCGTCCTCGACTTTCGTGCAGGTGAGATACGGCAACGCGACGAACGCCGAGTCGCCCGGCTCGGTACCCTTCAGGTCTAACTCGAGGAAATTCCTCAGGAGCGGCTTGACGATTTCCCGGGCCAGCCGCTTGATTTCGTCCATTTTGCGCTCGAAGCGTTTGAGGACGTCCCGGGTGTAGAGCGAGTCTGCGGACGGGGTGGGGTGGACTTTGAGGAATTTTTTGAGTTCGTCATGCGCGAGGTAGGCCTGCGTCGAGGGGGAGCCTATGAGTCGGTATACCTGTGCTGGGGTGAGAGGGGGCGAGGGTGGAGAGGCCCGCGAGATGGTTTCCTGGGTGCGATGGCTGCTTTGCGAACGGCGGCTGGTATTGTTGCTGGCGCTGGCGCTGGTGCTGATGTTTGCGTTGGTGGTGAGGAGACGATTCGTCGAGGGGTTTTTGAGGATAGGGGCCGGCGGCGGGGTGGTGTTGTCCACGAGCCACTGGCGGAACAGGGAGACGGCGAGCCAGTCGAGGTATGCGTTTGTGGGGGTGACGCGCTCGCCGCGCGAGGTGGTGAGTGTCAAGCGCAGAAGCTTCGAGTCGACGCGCGCCCTGAGGTCTTCGAGATCTTCGACTTTGTCCTCGATGATGTCGAGTACCGAGTTCGGGAGGGGTGAGTAAGAGCTGTTGCGAAGGTGAGGTAGTCCCGCGGGCCACTGGCCCACAACGTGGATCAGTGCCTCGGAGAAGATGACCCGGCTGCGCGCGAGGTACCCCAACTTGAGGTAGCTCGGAGGGTATTTCGCAATCTGCTTGAAGAGTCGAGATCCAAATCCGAGGAGATGATGGTCTACTCGAGGTCCAGTAACCGCCAAGGCATCATACATGTCGGCAAGCGCAAGCAGAGATCGGCACTCGGCATAAGCAGTCGCGATGTTGACACTATTGAGGAGAGGAGGGTGGTTGTAGAACAGGCGAAACAGATTGTCATAGTCACGGATGATCGGATCCATCTCCACGGTTGCTGTATTTGCCGTATGAGGCAGGTTGACCACGGATTGCATCCCTGCTAGATTTGCCATTGATCGGATGAAGCCAGTTTGTGCGCTCGAAGGTTTGGTCATCGACGGTGGAAAGTAGACGGCATCGCTCCCTATGACGTTGGAGAACGTTGGCTGCTGTATTCTCATATCGTCGTTAGGTGTTGGACTTGGTATCGGTTTTGTTCAGACTGACCTTTTGGACCAGTATAGGCTCTTCGTCTTCCGCCTTATTTTCCCAGTCCAGCTCGTATCTCCATCTCCTCTTTTCTGGGTGAACTGCGCACGCTCCGCTCTCTGATTGCGCAAGGGTTGATCCGTTGGATAGCGACGAATTATCCTCGCTGATCCGGGACGAGATCCCCGTATCGCTGTGCTGAAGCCTCGCTGTGCCCTGTCGCGACCATTCCTCGCTTGTGCTGGCCTCGAAGAACCCGGAGCATTGCGCCAATATCAATCGATGCAGAAGATAGCGCCGTTCCTGTCCACTGGCGCGTATCACGATCTCAACATCACCGGTGTGGGTGAAGATCGGAAAATCATTCTGTGGTTGATGAGAAGGACCACCATGATGAGAACGACTCGAGCGATGGCGGCGACCGCTATGTGAATGACGCGACACAGAAGAGGGGGCGCTTTGCATCGGCACAGAGCGATCAAGAACTTGGGCTTGAGAGACCATTTCAGCTGCGGAAGTGGAAAAAGGCTTGGTGATCATGGCCTCCGATTCGAGCTCAGCTTTCAAGCGCTTGGGAGACCACTTGGTGACAGACACCAGAGAGAGCGGCGTGTAGTGTTCATTAATAACAGGAGTGTAGCGATCTGACGCAAAACAGGGAAACAAAGGAATTGACTGCTTGATAAGATCGTGCTAAAGAAAGTTAACCGCGTTTGTTGTGATTTTTTAGTGGATTCATTCCCCGCTGCGATATGTTGCGCCCTCGTGGAATGGATAAACCGAGTGAGTTCCGCGGGGAGGCTAAGATGAGACTAGAGAGTATCCATCTAGATAGACGATGCGAGGATGAAGGTCCAGGACAAAGAGACAATAATAATTAGCAAACTTTAGAGAAGCTGAAACAAGAGACGGAAGCAGTCCTCCGTAAGCAGTCAAGCGTTCACATATCGACAGAATATCCGCAACCTGAGGCAATAAGGTAAATTACATTTCTTATTCTACACAAGTCTGCCAAATAAACTGCCTTCAAGCTTGAACGTAAGTAATTTCCTCTTATATCATAAGGTTGATGGCGATACAATGGATATTGTTGTGGACCTACTCCGTACATAGGTACCTCTTCTAAGGTACCTTATATCTGATACCGTAATTTATGTATTAAGGCGTATGAAACAAGGCCAATGTTTTGATCTAACCCGCTTCAGCATAACTAGTTAGTCATGAATGATGACTCATCCGATAGCCCATTAACTAACTAACTAGTTAACTAGTTATCGATAATTTGATCGTCGATACGGAAATAATAATAGTCATAGGTTGTTCTCGAACTTTTTCTTCCATGTCTCCATCCAGGCGCCGGATCATTCATCATTCAAAGCAAATATCCTGCCGAGCATTCAGTCTTTCATGAATTGACAATCTCATCCACCTCAAGAGATGCTCTGGTGGCTTGAGAAAGTGTACACGACCTTCGACTTTTCCTGACGCCCCGCTCAATGATGGCGAGTGTCATGCTCGGATATTCTCATCTCGGTTGTACAGGATAGCAGTCCGTTCAGCACAGCATAAGCTAGCGTTGCCAGCCGCCAGCGTATGACATCTCTCAAGTCATGAACAAAGGTTGTTACACCTGCCGTCGCCGCCGCATTATCTGCGACAATGGCCTCCCCACTTGTCGAAAATGTCGGGATGCGGGGAAGGAGTGCCTGGGATATCGTAAACCTCTAGTTTGGGTCAAGGGTGGTGTTGCTAGTCGAGGGAAGATGATGGGACGCAGCTTTGACGATGTCATGGGTGATACAACAGCTCAAAAGAGTGATTCCCATGATGCGAATACCACGCTCGCCGACGGTGTGATGCCACCGCCCACCACGGAAGCTCATGCTCCAATTGAATCGGACAGACTTGCGACATGTAGGGCGGATGAAACGCCAAGTGCATCGGATGTTGAGCCTATCAGTGAGGCTGTAATAAGCACCGCTGGCGACTTGGTCTCCACACAATGTACTACTCCTGCCGCTATCTATATCCCATCGCCTCTGGGGCTGGTGGACCCTGTGTTGAAAGACCTCAGCCCACTGTCAAGGTTCTACATCCTTCACTGTACGTCATTCATCCTCTTGTTTTTTCTGCCTTCAATATCAGAATGTGGACTCGTCTAACAGTTTACCTCACTTTTTAGTCAACCAGAATCTAGTGAGCTATCTTGCATTGTATTCCGACGTCCGCAATCCGTACCGTGATTTGACCTTCTTGGTTGGTGATTCTCCTGTCCTCGCCCATGCTCTCGCTGCCGTAGGGGCACTACATCGCGCAATCTTGACAAACCATGAGTTCTCATTGCCCTGGTCCTCAGACGCTGCGGGAGATGGTGGCACGGCGCTCTCTCCGGAAGAGGTGGAGCGAGCTGTGATCAGCTCGATGGCCAGGCGTCCATCTTCTAAGTACTACGAGCACTTCCTTGGCTTCAAACAACGTGCTCTTCGTCAGCTTTCGCTTGACATTTGTGATCCGATCATGCGTAACGATAACCGGACCTTGGCAGCAATCATGGTTCTCGCTCTCATGGACGCCATCGAATCAGGAGACGGTGCTTGGAAGTGTCACTTGGAGGGGGCGAAGAAATTGCTCAAGAGCCGGGAACAGTCAAAGTCTCCGAATCAGGCGCAGGGCATGATGGACTGGCTGGACACCTTTGCCATTGACGGTTGTCTCTTGTAAGTGTTCCTGCTTCCTCGTCAACCCATCTGCTTAGATATGAGCTGATCAAGAGCTGCCAGAATTCAGCTAATGGGATCCACCCTCGCGCGCCCCGGCTCTCTCACTCAGCCCTTCTATTCCTCCACTATGGGCCCAGCGGTCCTAAAGCGTCTAGAAGAGACCTCCTGGGTCGGTTGCCCAGCCTACCTGCTCGAAGTCATCTTTTTCGTCGAGGCTGGACACTTCGTGGCGCCTGACAAGGATCCTATTACGCAATACACCATGTCATTTTCCTCGGTCTTCCTGCCCGACGACTCCAACCCGCTCCAATCTCCACAGGCCCTCCTCGAACACATCCAAGCATTTGACCCAGTTGCGTGGGCCGAATCAATGCAGTCTTGTCTCTACCTCGAGGATCTATCGATGCGCATCGCCCTCGCCACCATCTACAAGGCCGCCGTCTATCTTTACGCCAGCCGCGTTCTCTCCCGCCCACGGTCGGGACGTAATTCAATGACCACCACCTCGTTCAGCCTTCCCCCAGATCACGGCGCAGTGACCACCATCCTCATCCACCAGATCGCCCTCATCCCCATCGCCGATCCACACTTCAAGTGCCTTATCTGGCCCACGTTCATCGCGGGCGCGGAATGCCGCGATCCCGCGCACCGCCCCTTCCTCCTCGAGAAACTCCGCGCTCTTTACTACGACATCACGAGCGTCAACGTCCGCAACGCCGCGTGGGTGCTCACCCTGATGTGGCGCAAACGCGATCAACGGCGCCAGGAGCGGAACAGGCGACGTGCAGAACAGGACGAGCTCTTCGACGAGTCGCCCCGCTCGCCTTTGACGACTGACTATGACGATGATGATTTTGACTGGATACAGGAACTCGACGATTCAAGAATCGATTGGCTGTTTATATAATACTTTTTCTCCTTGCTTGCTTGACTAAGTAGCGCCCCGGTCATCATGCTCATGAGTACATATTTGCATATTATGTGAACTGCCTAGTATATAAAGATCTTAATCTGAGAGGGTTGTAAGTGATTTGCGGACCTAGTGATATTTGTCTTTCGAGTGTCTATCGTTTCACTCTTTGAATCAGATAAGATACAATTGTTTTATTTTCCAACACCCTGCAGTAGCAACTGTGAGAGGAACCCCCTGTAACAGATCAAAGGGGCAGAGCAACTATTCAGACAAAAGAGGCCGAACATCATGTTCGACTATATGATCGCATTGACAAAAGCTATGTAACAGGAACAGCAATGTGTATGGGGGAGAAGAAACAAGATTGGAAGGAAATGAGGAAAGGAGAGATATCACCGTTTGAATAAAGGAGGGCGGGTTTGCATAGAAGATGGGGAGAAGAGATGAAAAACAAGAAAGCTCTCGAGAACCCAAAAAGCCCGCTCAGTGTAACAAACCGAATGGTATAAAGACAGAAAAAAACCCGAGGCAGCAAAAGTGCAAAGGTATGAACCAACGGTCAGAGAAGTCGTCCACTTGCACGGACTTATTCTGTTCCACGATTAGGCAGAAGCACGCCCAGGCTTCAGAGTCCTCTTCCCGTATATAGCTCGGGAGGTCGGCGGAGAAAAGTAGGTACGGTGGAGAAGAGAAGTCAAGAGAAAAGGAGATAGATGAGAAGAGAGAAGGAGAACAAAACATCAAACAGTACGACGAGCGACAGATGCATACGCCTGCCCATCTAGATGCAGCAATCTCGATTCGAAAAACACGCTCATCATTGCAAAATGCAATATCAAAGTAGATCTTTCAACCAGACAAAGGGAATTCTTACAGGTGCGAACAAAGGAGAAGCGACGGAAAGATCAAAGGAGAATATATGGCCGGAGAAGGTCATGTATGAATCTTGGATATCCACAAGTCAAACGAGACAGGCCAAGCAAGAAGAACATGTGTAGCGTCTAGCGACACCAGCTCGGAGGGCGCAAAGATCGCCGTCGTCATAGAGGTCGGGTCGAGGGAAAGGAGGCGACGGAGGTTTTGGGGGCGAATGGGTAGGTAACCGGCTCGATAATTAATGAGACCGACACCAGGGAGGAAACGCAATGAGCGGAAGTACACCATTCGAGGATGAATTGATCGATGTGACCGCCAATGATCGGCAGAGCAGCTCAGAAAACCGCCGCCAGGCCGTTCTTAGAATGGCGTCTGCTAAATCTTTTCCGCCCTTTGACTGAATCAGAGTCATTAGGCTGATGTTTGACCAAGGTTGCGCGCCCAGACGGGCCGCTCTCGGATTGAAGCTCAGAGCTTCGATCCAGTGTGTTAGCGTGGCTGGATAATCCAGAAGACAAATCTCTGAATGCTTCATCAGAGTACGACCCGTTGCTCTGTTGAGCGAGAGCCATTTCTTTCGCACGGTCTAGCGTATCCACCCATTCTTGGACAGACAACGCAGTCGCGCCCATCGTACTCGATGACGGCTTGGGGTCTTCGAAGACGAGATGTTTGTCGCGCTGTACGCATGGAATTTAGCAAGAGAAAGCTTGAAGGGAAGTACCGATGAGCATACCGTATCCACAACCCAACATGAAAACCCTTTCGAATCTGTCGCACTACGATATGACGTCCCTGGCGCGAGTAGAGAAAGCTCCATCTTGGCCTTCTTTTCGTCCCCTCCTGCTGCAGCCATGATGATCCGCCCTGAGGAAGTGACCATGACCAGACGCTGCCGCTTCTTTGTCGTACTCCCACCAAAGAACCGCGAAAACTTCTTCGGCACTTCGATTTCACCGCCCCCATTCTTCGAGACAGGACTATGGCCGGCGGGAGAGCTAAAGACCATCCAATTTCCTAATTTGAGTATTCTTTCGTTGGACTTGGTCAGGACGGGGGACCACTCGATATCGAGTTGACTCGGAGGAGGTAGTTCCGTTACCAGTCTCGGCACTACTCGGGCGTTGGCACTGGGAGCGTTCGAAGGTGCTGTGGAGATAACGGGGGGGAAGCTGTCATTGTCGCCACCTCCATTGAGCTTGATGGGCTCGCGAGGTGGAGGCACGTACGCCTTGAGACGGGGTGCTTTTCGAGTCCATAAATCTGAGCCCCAGTTCACGCCTTGGAAAAACTCATGGTTTTTAATATGTTCAATGGGAAGACGCCTAGCTGGGTCAAGGACCAAAAGGCGCTCGACGAGATCTCTAGCAACCGCAGGGAAGCCCACAGGAAACTCGTACTCAAGTGCGACGATTTTTTGAAAAGTCAGGTACTCGTTCGCAGCCTTGAATGGAGGGCGGCCGGCCAGGAGTTGATAGATGATGCAGCCAAACGCCCACAGATCACTAGCTTTGCAGGCATTCTTGTCCGTCAAAAGCTCTGGACTGACGTACTCTGCCGTACCGACGAACGAGCTTGCCCGCTCATCTTCCGGGATCTCAGAGGAGTCGAGTGACGGCATTCCACTTGAGTTCTGATCGGGGTTCCTTTGGTTATTGAGGATTTTTGCCGTGCCAAAGTCAGTAATTTTGATGTACATCTGGCTGTCCAGGAGGACGTTTTCTGGTTTCAAGTCGCGATGAATAACGCCGCGTTTGTGCATGTAGTCGATCGTGTCGAGAATCTGAGCACCGTAAAACCTTGTGCACTCTTCATCAAAGGTAGTCATCCGCTTCAACACTCCTAGCAATTCGCCCCCCTTGCAGAGATCCAGCACGAAATACAACGAGCGCTCGTCCTGAAAGGTGTAGTAGAGTCGGACAATGCCGGGGTGTTCTGTGAGCCGATTCAGGGTATCCTTCTCGATGTTGACATATTTCACCTTCTTCTCCTTAATGATGTGACGTTTGTCGAGAATCTTGATCGCATATTCCTTCAACGTCTGACGATCCGTCGCCAATACGACAGTACTGTATGAACCCTCTCCCAATGTCTGTCCAAAAGAGAAATCGCGGACCCCCTTTTTGATATACCGCGCAACCGGCTTGCCATTGGCGTCAATCTCTTGCCTCACGGACACGGCTGCACCACGCTCTTGCCAGTCTTCACTGCTCGTTGGCGGTCCATTTTCCATGCCGTAAGGGGACCCAGACAGTTGTGAGGCTCCTCCACCGCGTGCGTGAGCCCGTGAGGACTGACGCATCACCATTGGCCCATTCCCCGGGGGAAGCTGCGCAGACCGGTAAGAGCGGTCACTGTGACTGTTATCGCGCACTGGAACTCCAGCCTGATAGGCAGCAGAACCACCCCGGGACTCTGCACGTGCTAGACTTTCCGAGGCGGAGGAGGCAGCAGAATCCGTACGAATTCGATAGGAGCTTTCACGGGCTAATGTCGAGGAGGAACCGTTCGGATAGAAAGCGGATAGAGGGCGCGAGGAGGAGTTCTGAGGAGGATGTTGCTGCTGCTGCTGCTGCTGCTGCTGTTGTTGCGGCGTATAGGGGACGTATTGTGGAGTTTGGTGCTGAGATAGATCGGAAGGAGGGAGAAGGACAGGATTACGGTCGTCGGAGGTTTTGGAGTAGGTTTCAGGGAATGAGGGGATAGAAGACTCCTGGTGGTGCTCGTTCGAGGTTTGTATCGATGCCGGTCGCCGTGATTGTTCGGAGATCGTCGACTCGCGCTCTAGATCTGGAGCTGGAGCTGGAGCTGATTCTGCCGCCGTGATTAAGGTACCAGGGCCCGGAGTTGGAGTCGATGTATCCTCGGATGAATGTAAAGAGGAATCATCTGGATTTGCAATCCGTAAGCCCCCCAAGGACTGGGAGAGACTCAAATCCCCGTCCATGATGGGCACGGATGGCGGATGGCCCGTTACGGACCCAGGTTGCAATGAAGATATCGAGGTAATGCGAACCGGGACTCGAAGGGGAAAGCTTTCGACCTAGGCGGAGGTAACAAAGAAGAGAGCGATTTAAGCTGGAGTTGGTGAGAAGCCACGGACACCACCGTAGCGGGCTCAAGGAGGGAGAAGGGGTTGTGATGGATGCAATATGGGTAGGATGTCGAGAGAAGGGAAATATTAATCGCTCGTTTCGTTAGTGAACTGACTTGGAGAGGGGTGGCCGACGGACTATGGCGGCGGTCGGGGGAGTTGTGGGTGATGCATGATACAGCCAAAGCAACCACGAAAGATAAAAAGGGGGAGCAGCAGGTAGATGCCGATGAAGACAAAAACGAGGAAATGAATGAAATGGAAAGAGTGGCAATCAAGATAGCAAGGTCATGAGCCAGAGGAATGAGAGAAGTAGTCAAAAGGAGGGGGACTAAAAGAGATAATAATAACAAGTACTCCGTAGCGATGTTGCGGAAGAGGCTGAGTCGAGTTGGGGCCCAAATGGGTGGAGGATTGCGACGACAAGACAGAAGGGAAAAGAATACTGGAGACTGGGGATTTCTTGTAGGATAATGATCTTGTTTTTGACCTTGAGATGAACTTGACAGGATGATTTACTATAGTGATTACACTGTCTATTTGGCTGTGCCTGATATAGATTGATACCTGAGGTATTAGGCAGAAAGCATCTGATAGAAAAAAAGTGATGCCACATTTGGCTTTGACGTATGCAGTGGATATCTTATGATGTGCACTTCATCCTCTCACTGTGACAGTATTAGAGTACTTTCTAGAGTGGTTCTATCGGGCTATGTCCTCGAAAAGCATGTCACCTCCTGCGAAGTTGCTATTCTGTAGATGCAGGGCAACCCAATACTATATAAATAGCTGACTACGAAGATCGACTCCAGGACTCCTTCCCAGCCCATCTCCACATCGCAAATGGACTTTCCGCATTTGTTCAAATAGAGATTCGGGTAACAAGTATCAGGAACAGATTCCTTGCACATTCAGGGCGAGTCATCGTCTGCGCCTCAATTTCTCGACATCACCCCTCTATGCCGTGATCCTCCTCTGTTTTAGCGAATCCACCACGAACCATCATGATCCGGTCCAGACAGACATCCATAGTCCTCTCTGAGAAAGACGTTCAATATCATCTTGAAAGAATTGTTCTCCGCCAAAAAGCTCGAGCCTCCCAGCTGCCCCAACCGCCCGTACAGTGTCGTGCCGTGGACTGTGACGACGCAGCTTTCGTTGACTCGAAAGCTCCCTTCATTGACTCTATCTCAGGTTGTGAGGAGCAAGAGTCGGTTTCAAGCTCGATATCGGATGCAAATAATGACACTAGCTCGTTGCAGGGGGATATTCAGGACATCCATGTCTCACCTCCATCACCATCAGATGACAAAGAAAGCCAATGTGGATTATTGGGATCTCAGATGAAAAGAACTGCACTGTCGCGGGAGCTAAGTGATACTGAGGGACTGACATATAGGCTTCATCGCAATTGCACTTGGAGTTCCTTTATCGGGGGTAATCTTCATATGACAGCCAGGACAGCCGGGCTGCATCAACATACCGACTCTTTCTGTAGAACCAGCCTGCTAAATGAGTTTGTTAGCTTACAAGCTTCTTCTTCAAAGGCCATAGACAAATCATGTCTTCCATACCTGCAATCAAGGGTACCAGTATTGCCAAGGGCTTCGTGTGATCTGACTCGAGAAAGAGGACCCAGAGTGTTCTGGACTTCACATAAATTCACCAACTCAAGCTTTCACCACACAAAAACTTGTTTACTTGACCTTGACCCACGAGAAAGACTTTTACATTCACCCCCTCTCTTTCAAGACTCACTTACTGTCCCAAGGCATTCCTGTTATTCTGAAACTCTAGATTCTTCTGACGATCCTCAACCCATCAACGCTTCTCAGATAGGCTTTCCAAGTGACACACTTGATCTGAGACTGCAACCATCGGACTCAATCAGCTTTCCTGCAACTCATTACGTTGATAAAGAGTTGACTTTTCCAAAAAGCTTGATGGAGGACTACTCGAGAAAACCAAGCGAAGTCAATGGACATCGTCGGGTCCAAACCCTCCCAAACGTGAGTGTGACTATGCTGAAATCGAGACATTTTTGAATTGTGATGTCTCATCAGAAATAGGTTCAGAATAATAACCCCGACGATGGCCTGCGTGTAGCCGAAGCTACGAATGCCTCAGTGGCCCCTGACGAGCATGAGATACCCGAACATGTTGACCAAGGACCAGATCCTGGACCACCTTCGCCGCAGGGCGAGAGCGTTGGGGATATTTTTAAACGCCGCATGAAGGACCATCGTCGCTTGCAACGCTGGAAGGCTTGGTTTGAGGCACAGCAGATCTTCATAAATACTACTGGGCAGCAATTCGCCGCAGAAAATCAAGGACAGGGGCCCGTCCTCGTGCCAGAGCCCGCTTGGTTGCATCGGCAGGCGGCTCTCATGGGACAAGAGGCGGTTCGCATTGCACAGCAGGTGCCTTATATGGAACAGCGGCCTGCCTCTGAGGCACAGATTGCGTCCGGCGCTGATACGCCTCAGCATGACAATCGAGTGGCAGGCACCGATGAAAATCGTATGCCTGCTCTAGAGGAGGAAGCTCTTCCAGATGATACAGATCCGCCACCACTCGCAAGCTCCAAGCAAACTCTTGCAGAATACCTGATCTTCAAGAAACGACCATCTGCGAGGCGCAGAAACTCTGAGCCAACGGATATTGTGCGTACCCTTCCCATGCAGTGTCAGAAGTCTGTGTTGCTAACCTGTGGCTGATTCAAGAAGAATATTCTTCATCTCACGGCATTTGAGAATTCAGCTGTCTTTCGTGACTACATCGACGCTACCACCGCCGAACTGGATGATCAGTTTGCTCAGGATGACGCCACCGATTTTGGCCTCCTTGCATTGAGAGACAGGCCTGTTGCCGAATGGGGCCGTGACTGAAAGAGTATGCATCAAGCCAACATCTGCTTTATGGAGGAGTATTCAAAACTCATGGTACGGAGATCCAGGGTCTATGCGAGCACCCAACTGCTGTCTTGACCGTAAGCCTTTAAACATTCAACGAAGTCAAATACCAAGGTGTGTGGGAGCAGTGCATGTGTTTAGTAGGTTGGCGGCGTTGTTGGTAGTACATGTCCCATTCTTACACTGTAGCTCCTGCTAGGTGTATATACTTCGCATATCATCCTTCAAAACATCAATTTCGCTGCTTGAGTGGAGATGACGAGACATGCATCCATAGACATCAGGCCGTCAACATTGAAAAACAATCATAAGCGTGAATCCCTACACTGTCAGACTCACTGTCTGCTCTACTGTATACCTTGGCTTCAGGATTTTCACGTGGCCAGAGTGACACCAGGTAGGTATCTAGTTGATACGTGTTTCGATCTATTTCTGTATAACCTGATTCCAACTGTTGCCGATCTAGATAGATGGCTATGAGTTATTTAAACCAGTCTCCATACTTACGCGTCCTGTATCCGTGGTTCCAACGAATCATGCCGAATCTGCAGAAGTCGCCATTCGCCACAGACTCATGGACACTCGAAAGTGAGACTGTAGACCCGCCAACGCAAGCTTCATCACTCCGATTCAGCCTTGAGGATTCATAATTTCTCCCAGCTCGAGCACTGTTGTTGTTGTTGTTGTGACAGGCTGACAGTAGATTATCTCATACCTAGGTACCCTTGACGCGTGTCACTCACAGATCTATGGGTGATGCCGTCGGGGGCGCCGGATCCTAACGTTATTCTTCGGCCAATCGGGTATTTGGAGCGATTCCTTACATCATCCTCTGCAGGACCTTACCATACAGGCGCAGGTTGCAGGTCGCAGGTCGCAGGTCGCAGCCCTGTGGCTCGCGAGTTCGCGATGACTATCTAATGTCTATGCGGCGATCATTTATCATTTTTAGTTAATGCGGTATCGCTGATTGGAGTATGCAGTGTGTATGGAAACACTGTATGCAGTTGTGTCTCAGTCTGTGGGCCTGTGGCGTTGGGGTGGAACTGGAAGGTGTGTTGATTTCGAGCTCATGGTATGGTACTGTAGAGAAACTGGATGATGATCATGATGATCACTGATCGGCCATGGCATACTCCGTAAATGTAAATGAAGCAATTTGATAGCTGGAAAAATGGATACGTTTTTTGAGGAAGCATCTTTTCTTGAGGCAACCTTCTTGTAAGTAAACAAACTCAATGAGCCAGAAATTGCTATGCAGATGATGAGATTCGGCGCAGAGCAGGGTGCTTCGAATCGATGGATTGTATTCCGGTTGATTAGTGGTATATTGTAGTAGAGCAAGAAGTCTAACAGGAGCAGCTTTATATCATAGAATCACCCCAAGCCAAACCAGCCAGTCAAAAAGGGATCAGGATGATCGACTCATCAGAGTAAAGGGTAAGGTATATAATAGATGTGAGGCATGTCTAACAACAAAGTTTATGTCTGAGAAAAGGTATAAGAAGAATGGTAAAGGTGCAAAGGTGGTCGGAAGAAGAGTGTAAGGTGATCCACAGAATGAAACGCGGGCAAAGAAGTTCTCAGACGTCGCTTCGAAATAAAAGAAAAATGGCTCCGTTGTTCCCACTCTCGCCTCTAGATTTTTCCTCTTGAAAACATCATTCAATATTAAGATTGACATAGTTTGATCAAAACCATCATGGTACGTGAAGGAACATTTTTACTGGGCCTTGCTCTTGGCGAAAGCCTGAGCACCGTCGACCAGACGTCTTTCAGTGTTCTGACGACCGTTGACGAAGTCAGGGTAGTTGAGAGTGAGCTCAACAGCACCGTTAACAATGTTGTCGACGGCTTCGACACCCAGCATGAAGGAGTGGTCCTGGTTGCCAACCTCGTAGCGCCAGCTACCGAAGCGGCCACGAGACCAGATGTCCTTGTCTTGCAGCTTGGGCAGGATCTGAGTAAGGGCACCCTCACGCTCCAGGGTGGGGGTGGGGTAGCCGTGATCGAAGCGGCGGTGGTAGGTGGAGACAATCTCGTCGGTGGGCTGCAGCATCTCGGTGTTGACGAGACCCTGGATGCAGTCGGCCAGGAGAGTCTCGTAGTTGACGGGCTTCATAGAGGACTCGGAGACCTCCAACATGATGGACCAGTAAGGGCCCTCCTTGGCCTCAGTGCTCTTGGGCTTGGAGCCATCGGCGAGCTGCATGGTGGGCAGCTTCTTCGAGGCCTCAGGCTGGTTGTAAGGGGAGTAGTTGGAGAAGATGGTGGCACGGTAGAAGGGGCAGTTGTCCTCAGGGAAGTAGAGCTGAAACAGGCCAAATTGTTAGTACCAACCTCAAGAGGCTAAAAGAGACGGAAAATGGGGCTTACCCAGCACTTGTCACCAATTCTCTCGGGGCGCGAGCCACGAATACCAACACCAATGACGTGAGTGGAAGAGTAGAAGAGCTGCTTGGTGAGGCCAACGAGCTCCTGGTCGTTCATGGCCTCGGCCAGGAAGTCCACAGACATGGTGGAGACAAGCTTCTTGTAGCCGATGGTAGTGCCGTCCTGCAGCGTCACCGTCTTGTTGTTGGCATTGACCTTGGTAACCTTGCCCTTCTCACCGAAGCGGGTCTTCTCCTTAGGGAGAGTGTTGGCCACAGCAATCCAGATACCACCGGTACCGCCACGAGCGGGGAAGCGGAAAGTAGCGTTGGGACCCCAGTTACCAGCGGTCTTACCGAGGATAACGTTGGTCGTGACGGCCTTGAGGTTGGGAGCAGCAACACGCTCACCGAGCCAGGCGCATTGCATCTAATTCGAACGAACCCCATCAGCTTGTGTGTTCTCAAATCGCGACATCCGATGTCCGACTTCAAACGTACCTTGGTAGTGGGCACAGCCCAGACCTTGTAGTTGTAGGGTCTCATGAAAAGGTCGGCGATACCGGTACCCATCATGCGAACAATCCACTCGTCAAAGGTCTTGGGCTTGGTGCTGGCGACACGAGCCTCAAGGGCGGCATCGATCATGCCATCAATGCACTTGACCTGCTCCTCCTTGGGAAGCATGGAGATGTTGTTCTGGAAAGGATAGGGGACCCATTGGCCCTGGCAGCGAACGTAGGAGATACGCTGGTGGCTGTACCAATCATCCTCCTTGGGAAGAGCCTCATCAATGCAGTCGTCGAAATACTTGTAGTGGGAGAAGATGACGTGACCACCGACATCGTAAAGCTATGAATTGATTAGACAGTTTGTCCCGAATTCGCGAACAATCCATGTCCTGTCAAGGGCAAACGTACGAATCCTTCAGGGGTAACATCGGTGGAAGCAAGACCACCAGGAGTCTCGTTGCTGTCAACAATCATCCATGAGGGACCATCCTATTGTTCGACAATCAGTTCTGCGATCAATTGCGCTGCGAACCCGACATCGAAAGCACGTACGATCTGGTTCAAACGCTTAGCAGCACCCAGACCAGTAGGGCCTGCACCAATGACGAGAACGTCGACAGAGCTGGAGGAAAACCCGCAATGTCAGTTTCACCCCGGAGAACAAACTACCCCTGAAGAGCTTGGGAGGGGAAAGTCCTTACATATCGGGGTGGGTCATCCTGCCTTGTAGGATATCCTGGAAGCTGGGAACGCGATTCAAAGTTCTGCGAGCGAGACTAAGCATAGAAAATGCCAAACTGCAGGAGACTGCAGGATATAAAGGAAAGTGAACAAGAGAGAGTTGGGGATGAAAACAAGAAGACGGTGAGGGAGGAGGAGGAGGAGGGCAGGAAAGATAGGTGTATCACAGAGCGGTCGGGAAAACGAAACGTGACAAACAAGCTGTGGGGAGTGCCTGTTTCAAATTAAGGTCCTGAGGCCAATCAATCCTCAAAAGGCCCCAGCAGTGGCAGATTGTACCTTAGTTGAGCCCTGAAAGGGGGGTGGGAAAAAAAAAGGGGAAATTGGCCACCATCCAAAAAATAATTAAAATGATAAATAATTGCAATAGTAAAAATAAAATGATAAAGAATTATTTTAGAAATGGTCTGGAAACAACTGGGGATGCGTTATCAGCAATTTGTTGTTACTCTACCTTATTTTCCTGGACCTAAAGTGCCATGTACCATACTACCACCCACAACAGTCTCTTTGTGCCATCTGGGCATTTACTGCCATCTTGTTGGATAATTTCACCATGGTATTCGGCGGAGATCTGTAGTATCAAACGTATCTAATGTTCAACACTGGGCCAGAGCCTGTAGACTGTAGTTAGATAGGCTCTGTAGATAACCACAGGGGGTGCTTGGTTGCACCTCAATATCTAACCCTATCAGTATCACTACCTTACTCTACGTGCCCCAAATAAAGATACTAATCTTGCATCAAATCTTCCGGCAGCTACACAGCTCAGACAGAATCTCAGAAGTTCAACTCCTTACGGGTCATAACGATGATAATGATCATAGTCATCCAGCTGCTTGCGACATTGAAAAGTATGTCGCTTATCGACCAATCCGAGAACAACACAGGCACATCATCGTCTTTATCTCAACATCAAATCCAAGATCTATCTGCAATCTGCAGCTTAGTGATGCTTTTCAGTCCATAGATGCTGGGGCCTGGAAGCTGGAGACCCCAAGAATGTCACTTGCGGCCCCATATCAGCCCAGGTGACCGCTTCGATGTCAGATTGTTTATGGCAGCAGGAGCACGGAGTGCAAGTAGTCCTTCTTAATTCAGTATAAATAGCTGTCTTCCATACTGGTGTCGTTCTTATCCGTGCTGGCAACGGTCATTGATTGAATAAAGCCACTTTTGTGTATGTTTCATGACAAGTCTCATGAGAGTGGTATCACTTCTAACAAGCACTTCAATCTGCAAGATGTAGATTATTGTAGAAAGCTCCACAGACGTGATTTGCTTCAATTATTTTACGGAGTACTCCGTAAGTCGAGGATATCCGTCCTAGTACTCCGTGTCAAACACCGAG